TAGTAAGATAGTGACACTTAAGATTCTGTCTCAAGTTGTTTGAGTCTGTTCGTCTTTGGTTTTGCTATTTGTCAACTTCATATAATGAGAAATAGTCCGCCACCACTCAGTGTTAGCATTTGGTTGTTGGATGCCACTCTTGAAGTAGTTACTATGGGGGTTTTATTTTTTATTTAGATATAAGCAAACATAACGGAACAGATCAGGGTTTGATTATTTGCAACCTGCCCATGTAACTATAGATTGCACAGCAGGCTTGTCGTTATTCTCTTCTCCAGACTCTCATTCCCTTTCTAGCTTGGAGCTGTTAATGTTTCAAAGTACAGCCTTTGAGACAGCAACCTTGGAAACTAAATATTTTCATCTCTGAGTGGCTGTGGCTCTCAAGCTTCCTAAAAAATATGTCAAAAGACTTCCGAGGGAGATACTGGCTATATAACAGTGTTTTCTATTCAGATAATATAGAGCAAAATGTTTCTTGGGCGCTGGCACTGATCAGTCAAACTCTTCTGACTGAGCATCCTAACAGCCTTTGGGAGGGATTTTTGGGTTTGCAATGGACAGAGTTCAACAGGTGTATATGGTAACGTGAGCTGCCATGTTCAAACTTCTAGTAAGCTAAAATAAATTCGAAACAATCGATTTGACAGGAAAAAATTATTTACTTTCTTTACTTCTGTCAAGGCAGAACTGTTCCCTGCTATGCCAAAATTATTCTGGCTTTAGGTAGCTGTAATAGCTTATTTTTAAACTGTGTTAATGGTACTTCGTTGCAGATCATCTTGATGCTTAAAACTATTCTTGAATCAACTGATCCTTACAGTTCTGTTAAGATCTGAGGTGGCTGCAGAGCAAGATTAAGGGGAGAAGACTTGTAAGCAGAAGGAGATAGGAGGGATACTGATGAAGAGATAGTAGAGGTAGATTTTAGAAGTAGAACTGAAGAGGGATAAATCTGAAATGTTTGTAGACGTGGAAGAGAATGGCCTTGTGCCATTGAGCCATAGCATAGGAAGCCAAATACCGAAAATCAAAACAAACAGCCAAAAAATATTTTTATATTAAAAGACTATGATGAAATGTAGGTAACCCATGGAAGAGAGTGACTTATCTAGGAACTGTTTTAATTTCATGTTAGCGAAACATAATTTTTGTTTGTTTTGTGGGAGGGGGTGGCGGTTCCAAGAGGCTCACCTTCTATGTTGCTGCTTCAAGAAGAGACAAAATGCAAACAGAAGTGTTTCCATTTTGGTAGATATTTTAAAAACACATATCTTCAGGCATTCAGGATTTTCACATCATGTCCCCGCTTTGTTTGACTAATCTGAAACAAATCAGTCACAACTGCAGCTCCTGAAGTAGAAGAACACAGAAGAGGACCTCTTGAGTTCCACGGCAGGCTTACCCTAGAGCATATATTTCATCATAGATTATTATCAGCTTACCAAGCAGTGATTGGGCAGGTGACTTCTATGTCTTTCTTGTTATTCAGTGAAGGATTGTTTGGGATGCGAGTGATTTACCTCAGTGAGGATGGTCACAAAGAAACCTAATTTCACATTATGGAAGCAGTCGTCATATTTGGAATACAAAAATGCATTTTAAAATACACATCTCTAAACTGGTACAAATACTGATACACATACTGTGCAAGACATCTTTTGTATGTGATAAGAAAAGGATAATTGAATCAAATGAAATAAATAAAACTATAGGTACTTTGAGTTGAGCCTAATGATGTCTTTTGCTTTTTTTTTTCTTGGCCCTTGAAATTCTTCAGACCCCTGGAAGATTTACCTCATCTTGCACTGAGATAAATTGAGATATTTTTACTTTGCTTTTTTTTTCTCCCCCTTACATCTTTTAATCAGTCTTTACTGATGCTTATATTAAGTCCACAGAAGAGATACTATAATTGGAGAAGCTGGAACACTTGGCTAACATTCCCCAGAGGCTGACATGCTTTCTTTGCTAAAAGGAAAAGAAATAGGTAGTTCATTTTACTCTTTCGTGGCATATGCAGCCAGTCAGTTCTGTCTTGCCGGCATGAGTTACACTGGAACAGCAAGGCATGGGAGAGAAGAAGAGAGGAGGCCTCTTTTGATGTCTGAAGGTGGTGAAAAGGTTTATTTTTGCTCAGAACTTTCTTTCCTTATTTTTTTTCTGTCTCCTGTGTTGGATGCATAGCTGTCCCCATTTGTTTGAATAAGAGGTGATAATGTTGGGGGTACAAGCTAGCAGCTTTCAGGGTGCTCTGTTGTGACTGGGATTAAGGAACCACAAAATATTCCAGAGACAGGGGAGGAACTTACTAAGGTGATACAGTAAGCTGAATGACAAGAGGAACTGCATGTGTTCTCCAACAACACGCATACCATATCATCAGTGGTCAGAAACTGCACGCTCTGTCTTGCAACTCTCTAGATCTGTTTTGAGGCTAAAATGGACAGCGTGGGCTTATTTGCTATCTGTCTTCTCACTTACTGTGCTGGTAGAGCACGTCAAAGCCCTTCTTTATCAAGAGAGATAAGATGTAAATTTCTAGTGTTAAACAATGGAACAGGAAGAGTAAATGCAAATGAGAATCCAGCTTTCTCTCCTTCCTTAAGAATAGGTATTTATATTTTTTTAATTTACATGATTATATTAATTCATTAACATTTTTCTCTGACGGTATCTTATCCAAACTTGTGTCAGCATTCAACACGTGCACTTAGATGCCTTTAGTCCACACTTCTAATTTTAGGGATACATCTTGCTGACTCCCTTAATGCCCTCTCATGTAGCCAGGCCAAGTTTCTGTGTAGTCATTTTACAGTTTACTTTAAAAATCAAGGATTTTAAGTCTCAATTTTTGAAGGCAAAAAAGAAGTAACAAAAGGATAGCAAATTAAAATATCATTTTTGGTATCTCAGTTATTTTATTTGTCTGCACCAAGACATGCTTACTGGTTGGTTTGTTGTAGGGCTATTTCAAAAGCAGAGAGATTTAGCGGAGACAATGTAATCTACAAGCCACCAGGGGTAAGTGTAACTATGTATTTTATTCTGCTTATTGTCGTTACATGTGAATATGAACTAATGGAGACTATATTTAGATCATTCAGTATATTACTGCATTTCAAATCTTAATTTTATTTCATCGCTAAATAGCATGAGAAATAGGGTCATAGGAACTAGGGTTTCTGAGTCAGTGAAAAAGATCTCAGGATCATTTGTTGCCAATTAAGTGCACAAAACCTAAATCTGTCATTCTAAATGTCAATGTACAGAAATGTTGGGGTTTTTTTCTTAGAAACACAGTTGACTCATCATGTGTATTAATACTTTGTGTTCTGTAGAAGTCTTAAAAATCTGTGATGTTCAACAGCTGGTGCACTTCATATTTTTCAAAGCAAGTGAAAATTACTAAGTATTTTTCTGAATTCCACTTGCCTGTGTTGTGTGTCTTAGCCCTCAAGGGCTAAGAGCTGTTCTCTTAATATCAAAAAGAAATAAAATTAACTGTATATTAACAAACTCTCGTAAACATAATTTTACTTGAGCAAAAATTCAGTACAGAAGAAAATCTCCAAGAATTGCTTTTTAGAAACATAATTAATATCTGAAAATCTGTTCTTTTCTCACATTTAATGTATGAAAAGAGTTGCTTACAAAAGAGAAATAAATAAAAAAAGACCGAAGGGGGGAGGGAGTTTCAAACCTTTTTTTTGTGAAAACAGAATTTATTAGGTTACTTAATTTATATGGCTTCTCTGAATTAAGGCGTGCTTAATCATGGCCACAGCTTGCAAAGTCATGCTTCACTTCATGTTAACCAAAATTGTAATTATTTTAAAAGATGGCGGCACTGAATTCTGAGTTAAAACTACTGGCAAATAAAGGAAAACTGCCTTTTATTCTTAACTCTTTGGCAAAGCAAACGTAAAATACCAGTTTCAAGTTCTGTAGGACATTGGGAGGGATTTTTGGTCACTCTTTCTAACTATCAACATGAAGAACCTTAATATCTGCATCTAGTTTACATCTAAACAGGGTTTTTAGGTATGGAGATACTATTTGTCAACCTGACTGAAGTCTAGATAGTCTTTCTTTGAAGCATTCCTAATTTGGAAACAAAGCATCTTTTCAATTCTTCTTAAGTTGTCTTAAAAAGTGGAGTTGACTGCATAAGTGATGATAAATAATATTTATTTTTCTGTTGTACTTTCATAACATAGTTAATAGAAATGTTGCATGCACAAAGGTTGAATATTGGTATACAATTGGGTTTTGATATTTTTATGGCTATTGTTACTTTGATGTCGGATAGGTAGCAAAGTCATTTTTACTGTTTCACAACTGGTATATTTCTCTTTTCAACAGGAAAATGCTCCAGATATGGTGTATTTAGGCTCGCTAACCAATTTTGATTTGATTTATGCATGGACACAAGATAAATGTGTACCACTAGTTCGAGAAATTACATTTGAAAATGGGGAGGTAAGAAATTTTTCTACCATTATATTTTTGAGGTTTCTTTCTCAAAACCAAAATGTCTCTTTCAAGGTCTTAAATCCATGCCAAAGAACTTCCTGCACACTTTGCTTTTGACAGAAAATAGCTGTCAGGTAATCTCTTTTCATTCTTTTGGAGCTTTTTGGTTAGACTTGAAGTTCTCTGGAGGCAGATTTGTAGTAGTTTCATACACTACCAAAGTAAGAGGTTATAATGATGCATATAGATCACAGAAGTGTCTGGTGACTTGCAGAGTGTGGACACTTGGATGCTAAGAATCTGTGTGTGTAAGAAAGTGTGTGTCTGTAAGTATGTGTATGCGTGTAACACCTTGGGTAGGTTGTATTAGTCATCTAAAGTAAGTACATATTATTTATACAGCTGTTATGACTAAATCTTCATTTAAAATCCAGACATAAATGGTATTTAAGTGCTTTTTGCATCTGTTATGACCTTGAAAATATGTTTCTTGTCAGGGTAGAAAATATCCATGTCAGCATGTCTATGACAGTCTGAAAGAGTAAAATAGTTGTGAACTATCCTTTAGTTATAATCAGCTTTTAAAATTTAATGTTAAAGTTAGTAGTAAAAATATGTTACTGTATTAACCACTTCCAAAGCATTATCTAATAAATAAGCACATTAAATGGTGGCTGACCGTCTGTGGAACTGGCAATCTTCTGGGAATTGTAATAAAAAACATATGATTTTTTTTTTTTTTCAATCTGTGTTTGAGCACTGGTACCTTAATCTTTTTAGCTTCACATGCTCTCTTTCCCTTGGGTTTCTTCTTTTAGATGGAATTTGTAAGATGGAATTTGGGGGTTTGCTTTTAAACATCTCTTTTCTTCTCATTATCCTTATTTTCTTTCAAGACTTTTCTGTTTTCTTTTGTAGTTGACTCCTCTTTCACCTGTTTCCAACTCCATGTTATAATTTTTTTTTGTAAAACGGTAAAAAAAAAATCTTTAGAGATTTAGCATGTTTGTAGTATCTTAAAAGGAGTATTTGTACGTAGCCACAGCACCTGCTAAAAACACTGGTGAGGTTTGTAGCAAACTGCAGTATGTTGTCCACACTGGATTAGAAACCAATGAATCAGTCGTGTGATTCGTTCTTAGTTTGCACACTTATTATCCTGAATCTGCAGTGTATGTAACACTACTGTTCTGGACACACACAACGCGTCAGGTTACATTACAGAGGGAGTGATAGGATGAGATGCACAAAATGGTTTGAGTGGAACCCTCTAGTCAAGCCCACCGTTTATTGGAAAGTTCTATTAGTTACATTTTAATTCTTCATTTGCAACTCAGTATGTAAAAGATGCCGCATGTTAGCACGTTTACAAGTGTGTTGTAGATTTTCAGTCTACTTTTCCCATGGTGAAACTGGATTCTGAGCCTTAGAAGCCAAGGTTCATCACTCTCAGCTTGTACCACATTGTGTCATGGTTTTTCTGGTTGTTCTCTCGACCCTCAGTTCCTGTTTACTTGGGCAGATATTTACAATTCCAATGTGACATTTTGCCTAGCAACATCTGTTTAAAAATTTCAGTGCTGCCAGTACCCAAACAAATTTAAACATGCCAACATTGAGATACTTCTGCCTGCTGAAATTGTATAGTATTTAAATGGGCTTTTAATGCATGCTGCACAATATTACAGGGTAAAAATATGAAGAGCTGTGACTGTAAAGCTGTGTTTGTGGTACTAGAATACCTTATAAATAAGGTAAAGGACAAAAATTTCTACCGCAGACTTTTAAGTCGATTTTAAAAATCAAAATTGGTCTCTGTAAACTGCTGGTAGGCTTCTCCCTCATTTTCTTTTTTAATGGTTTCATTATCTGACAAGTGTCATGGGCTGTCTAGCCAGGAAGATGCCCAGTCTGAACAGAGTTCATCGTTGTGACTTTAGACAACATATAGTAATTGAACTCTGAAGCAAGGTGGTCTGCTTGAGGAGACTGTCCATTTGAGAGACAGTCCCTGTACTTGGTGAGAAAAGGCTGTTGGGATCAGTCATATCATTCAGAAGAAGTCACTATTTAAGCTCTCATCAGTCTGCATAGTTTTATGTTGTAAGAATACGACAAACCGTGTGGTCTAACAATGGTGCTGAACTCTACCTTGTCTACCTTGACTTTAGCAAGGCTTTTGATGCTGTCTCCCATAACATTCTCATAGGTAAGCTTAGCCAGCGTGGGTTAGATTAGTGCACAGTGGGGTGGATCAAGAACTGGCTGAATGGCAGAGCCTAGAGGGTTGTGATCAGCAGCACAGAGTCTAATTGGAGGCCTGTAACTAGCCATGTTCCCCGGGCGTCAGTAGTGGGTCCAGTCTTGTTCAGCATATTCATCCGTGACCTGGATGAGGGGGCAGAGTGCACCCTCAGCAGGTTTGCTGATGACACAAAACTGGGAGGAATGGCTGACACACCAGAAGGCTGTACAGCGAGAACTGGGATAGGCTAGAGAGTTGGGTGGAGAGGAACCTAGTGAAGTTCAACAAGGGCAAGTGTAGGGTCCTGTACCCAGGGAGGAATAACCCCCTTGCACAGGTACAGGTTAGGGGTTGATCTACTGGAAAGCAGCTCTGCAGAGAAGGACCTGGGAGCCCTGGTGGACAAGTTGACGATGAGCCAGAAATGTGCCCTTGTGGCCAAGAAGGCCAATGGCGTCCTGGGGTGCATTAAAAAAAGCATGTCCAGCAGGTGCAGGGAGGTCACCCTTCCTGTCTACTCTGCCCTGATGAGACCACATCTGGAGTACTGTGTCCAGTTCTGGGCTCCCCATTTCAAGAAAGACAAGGAACTACTGGAGACAGTCCAGCAGAGGGCTACAAAGATGATCAGGGGACTGGAGCATCTCTCTTATGAGGAAAGGCTGAGAGACCTGGGTCTGTTTAGCTTGGAGAAGGCTGAAAGGGGATCTCCTCAATGCTTATAAATAAAGGGTGGGTGTCTAGAAGATGGGGCCAGATGTCTTTCAGTGGTGTCCCGTGACAGGACAAGAGGCAATGGGCACAAACTGGAACATAGGAAGTTCCATCTGAACATGAGGGAAACCTTTACTTTGAGGGTGGCAGAGCACTGGCACAGGCTGCCCAGAGAGGTGGTGGAGTCTCCTTCTCTGGAGATATTCAAAACTCACCTGGATGCATTCCTGTTCAACCTGCTATAGGTGAACCTGCTTTAGCGGGGATTTTAAACTAGTAGTCTCTAGGGGTAGGTCCCTTCCAACCCCTACCATTTTGTGAAAGGGTAAAAAGTTTCTCAAAGGCATACAGAAGTAATGTTGGAAGCTCAGATCTATTGAAAAATCTTTTTATATTTTCAGTGCCAAATGAGACAGTAGCTTTTGGGGGAGACGTCCAAAGCAAATGAAATTTGCCACTTGCCACGTCCAGATCAGCAAGACATACAATGAAAGCTGGAATAGAAAAGTAAACAGAGGAAGGTACTTTATAGAAACCAGTTATGGCCAAAATTAGCAAGACTTTCAAGCCAGTTGTCCTAATAGTCTGCTTGGAGATTAATTGATCTTGTGAATACAAGTCACCACATAAAAGCGTTTTAGGTATGTGGATATCAAAACTGAGGTTGTCCTTTTAGCTGCTTGCAAGCAAGAGGGGAGCTTGGAACCAGAATACCAAGCTCTGTTTGGGAGCTCTCTCTCTGGAAATGTACCTGCTAAAACAAGTGAGAAAACAGAGCCATAACTGTAGTGGTATGAAATGGACTTTTTCCCATCCCCTAACAGGAGAGGAGGCTGAGACCCAGCCAAATACATGTGTGTAAAAATGAGAATGAGCAGATGTGCTTAGTGGTTGGTTTAGGGATGGATTGGGAAGCTTGGATTTTATCAAGAGCGCTGACGTTATGAGGATCTTTGCAATCTGCTGTTAAGAGACCAAACTTCAACTTACCTGACAGAGTGGGTTTAAGGGAGAATGACAGCCATTTCAGGTACACTGTGCAACTGGCTGCCTACGGATATGGACAGCATTTCTTTCAACCTACTGCAAATCAAAAATATCTGAAGAAACTCTTCTTTTTGATGGCAGAACAAATGAGTGCTATATTTCCTCAAAAAAAAACCATTTTATTCTGATACAGGCTAGAATAAAAAAAAAATAGCAGCACTTGCTTGTACACCTGTTGTGCAAATGAAAGATATGCAAGACTGTAGGGATTTTTTAGATGATAAATGATTATTTCTGCAATTGGGCTGTAGCAAGTTAAGCTGATGTTCAAAGGTGCCTAAAACCCCCTTTTGAAGCAAGCAAATGCAAGTTGTTCATGTTTTGTTTGGGTTTTGAGTGAAAGAAAAATCCTGGATAAATTATTCAAGGAGTTTCCTACATTTATCTGTCCCTGGACAGAGATCTTTAAAAGGCACTCAGGCTGCAAGAGCGCACTCCTATGAGGAACTGAAGCTTCCCTGTCCAACGAAGGTTTTCATTTTTTTCCATCAATTTTGGTAATATGCTAGACTGTGAATTTCATAACGGTGTTATACAGATGACTAGTCAGAATACACTTACTGGCAAAAGAGCAGAACTTGATCATAACTGATATAGCTATGTCACTAGCTTCTGCTTTTTGCTTTTTTTCTTCGAGGTGTGTTTTTTGCGGTTTGTTTGGTTTTGGTTTTTTAGGATGGAGTTATTTACAGATACTCATTCATTGTATTATGCTAAGAAAGCACAGATTTATTACATGAACCAAGCTAGGACTGGGTCTAGAATACACATTCGGCTTTTTATAGTATTTAATACCATGCTCTTCAGGCCTTATTGCTGTTTCTATGAAGATGCATTTTCTCAGAATTCAGCTATTTCTTCTGAGTAAGTGTTCCAGTGCAGGTGTATCCCTTCCCAAAATGCTGATAATGAAATACCTTCATCCTTTATCTGCTGTTTATGGTACAGAGGAAGGAAACATGGTTAACTGTATCATTCGGGTATCTGAGATAAAGGGTCAGCAGATAACATCTTTAGTCCTATTCTTTCAACTGTTTTTAAAGTAGAGATCTCGCCGAATTTGAAAACTGCTGGAATCACTTACTTAAGTGTCCTTAAGAAATGAGATTTGTCATTTGTTTTCTGTGCAGGAACTGACAGAAGAAGGCCTTCCTTTTCTTATTCTTTTCCACATGAAAGATGACTTGGAGAGTTTAGAGAAATTCCAACAGGAGGTTGCACGACAGTTAATAAGTGAAAAAGGTTTGTAGTAACTCCTACTACGTCTTGTTTTTACTGGTGTAATTTTTTTTCTGGCAAACTTGGTAGAGTGGAAGCAAAGGCCAAACAGAATCCTAGCTTTAGAGCTCTTGAGACCGAAGGGCTTCTTATACTTGTGACAATAAGGACTGACTCCTCTGGAAATGATTAAAATAGATATATGATTTATTAGTAAGTACCTATTTCAGAAATCTTTCTTGTCTAAATGTCTTTGTGCAGTTTGAGAGGGCATTAAACAAAATTTCAGTTTATATTGTGGCCGAAAACACTAAGAAAATACACTACTCTGGTGGTGTTAGTTGTTTAAATCTATTTTCAAGTTTGTTGTATCTGTCTAATATCTCCACTTTTGTAATACTTACAAAAGTGTTTAGGGTTTCGAGATAATAATAACAAAAAAAAAAATCTTAACGTGGATTTTTGTCTGCTCACAATTTTAAGGTACAATAAACTTCCTCCATGCTGACTGTGATAAATTCAGGCACCCGCTCCTCCATATTCAGAAGACTCCGGCAGACTGCCCGGTTATTGCCATTGATAGCTTTAGGCACATGTATGTCTTTCCAGACTTCAGTGACTTGTCGTAAGTATTTTTCTTTGTGCATCTTAATTTGAGAAGAACAAAGCAAAAGACATGCTCATATTTTAGTCAGTGCTACGATAGGAAGATGAATAAATCTGGGATAGGTAAGGCTGCCTATGTGCAATTCAGTGTCAGAGCCTTAAAGGGATATGAATTGGTGTGAAGTCATGGTTTAAATGGAGTTGCATTGCTTTATGCAAGAAGAGAATCTCACATTGAGTTTTTAGATGCTGCTCTTTTATTTCAGAGTTTTGCTATTTTCCATAGTAGTTAAGCATTTGGAGCCTGGCATAGTATTTTTGGTGGTGATCTAGATATATCAATTATCTTTAAAAGGCTTAAAATACTACGTGCAACGCTTAAGTGCGGTGTTATGCAATAATTACTGTAAAACGCACCACGTAAGAATTCCTAGCCTGCTGGTTTGGTTTTTCTTGCTGTGCAATTCCAGCCTTCCTGCTTTAGTCTAAACCTGGCAAGCTGGCAGAGAAATCCTTGTTGCATGGGTTTCCAAAATTTTCCATGTGCAGCTTGGAAAATGGCTGATTATTGGCACGTTATCTGGATAAAATATGTGAGAGAAAAGTATCAGGATACTTAAGTGAAATACCACTTTGATAATCCTCTTTACATCAGCCTCTCTCTTAATGTTGCACTGCCTTGGAAGCCAATGTTCTGTCTTCTGTGATTCAGTTGAGGAGTGAAGATGCATAATTGTTATCTTCAGGGACTTTCAGCATGAGACAAGCGTTCTGTCTTTGTCTTCAGGTTGTGTGTTAAAATCCAGTTTCTGTCTCAAAGGAGGTACTTGCATATACAGTGCTTGTTAAGTGCCAGTTAGATGCCTAGGCTTTAAAGCTTGAATTTTTGCCTGTTCGTACTTTTAAAAACTCGGGGTATTTAATTTTTGTCTAAGCCAAGGATTCAAAGCTCAGACTTAGCATGTGATGTGAACGTAACCCTGTGTCTAATTCTGCCATTCCAACAGGCATTTTTCTATCTGAAATGTTGACATTTGGAAGGAGAGTTCTCCCCATAGTTCTCCACAGGCTTATTCTTAAAATGTATTTTCTGTTTGATGTATCTCAAATAGTGCTTTTCAAATATCTAAAGCTACGTACATGGAAACTCTGACAGTGACTGTTTCTCCCTCTTCCCTTCTTTGGAAGATCATGTTCACTGCACATGCCAGCGCATACAAACAAACAAAAAAAAAAAAGTGGGATATTTGCATTTTGAAAGCACTCTTTTTATTGTCACTTTTGAAGCAGCCCTAAAATAAATTACTCTCTTATAGGGGAATACAGATGTTTAGTTTAGGCTTTCATGTTTTGTTTCTGTGAGACACTATCAGGATAATAAAAGCTACTTGCTTGTTGGTATACCAATTGTTACATACAAATGAAGATGAGAGAGAGCGATGTCAGGATTGTAGACAGTTGCTTAATGATAAATAATTATTCAACCTTACTCTAGGAGATTGAGCTGATACTTAGAAATACCTAACAAACAGTTTGGAAACAAGGAGAGCTTGGAGCTCCTGGGGTGATATTCTTTTGCGTGTGTGTGTGTGGTTTGGATTTTTGTTTTGGTCTTGTCTTGTTTGGTTTTTTGGGCTTTCTTTAATAATAGGTACCATCTTAATTCTGAGACTTTCATCTACCTGCAGTGATTTCTGCCACTTTAGTACATTTTCTGGACTCTTTTACAAACTGGCCCCAGACTGTCTCTTGTAATCTCAGTGCTGCCACCAACCAATAGGGTATGGATATGGTACTTTGTCAACTAGCCTGCTAAAAGATTTCCTCTCTCTTTATAGAGTTATCTTCTTGGAGAATAGCCACGTCATAGGCAAATGAGACCACCACCTAATATTTTTGTCCTCGTACTTTGGCCACCTAGTCCTATTCACCCTGCTGTGCTAGACTGGAAATGACAGTAGGGAGTGTTCAACAGATCAGTTGTAGCTTCTCAGTGAGAACTGGCTGAGCTACCAGAGGCTGTAGGCACCAAATGCCCTTGATGCATTAGGAGAGGAGAAGAGGTTGGAGGGGAATGTCTCCAGCAGCGTGCCTTACACAGAAAAGGGCAGGAGTCCAAGGTAAAGCGGGGAGCAGTGATTCTGCTATCCCTATAACCGAGCTGGAGTGAACCCCCTTCTCTCCATCAGTACCATCTTGATCTTATCTGGGAAGGGATGAGATCCCTCAAAATACCACTGTAATACTGATTAGTTACAGACGTTGCTGTAGTGATACCCTCTGACTATATTATACTGTGTTTTAGCCATAGAGTTTTCTGATGATCTGAAATACTGCCGGTAGCCCATCTGACCACACTTTGTCCTTGTTTCCTAAATGTAATAATTGGTCTGATGAAAGACTCCTTACGAAAGCTGTCTCCATTCATACATTACCTTTTGATTGCATGCATAGTGCTCACGTTATAGTTTTTTATCTCATCTTTAATACTTATTAGATCAACTCTTCATTTTAAGCTTTTCAGTCTATTTGACGTTGCACAAAGAAAATTGGATGCTGTAGTTTAGAACGTTTGCTGTGGGTGACAGTAGATGATCTCAGATTAGATTTACATTGATATACTCTTAGTGCTTCTCTCTAGTGTATATGCAGTTGCTCAGGCACTAGAGAGCCTTTCAAAGATGTTTTGTCAATACCGCTACCCAACTGTCATTTGTATCTGTAAACTGTGCATTTGGAACCTGCTGTTCCCTCTTACATTATGGTTAGTGGGGAGCTGAAGTGAGTATACAATGAAGTTATCGGCTAGTACAACTCTGCGGGAGTTATTGAAGAGATGAAATACTTGCTGTGTTCTCAAGAGACAGTGGAAAGAAAAAGAAGCTGGTAGGATACCTTAACAAACCATTTGGCTTCCTGTCCTCTATTAATCACCTAAAAGTGGACACAGTGTGCTAGATAAACAGAAGTTGGCTGCTCTAAACAGTGCACTTTAAATCTTCTGCGTTTGGGCTTAACTTGTAATAAACACGTGGGTGTTTCTGTCGGATTTGTTCCAGAGTTCCAGGTAAACTGAAGCAATTTGTACTAGACTTGCATTCTGGGAAGCTGCATAGAGAGTTTCATCATGGCCCTGATCCAACTGATGTAGCACCTGGTCAGGTAAGGTGACAACAAATACATTTCATAAAGACCTATTTTTATTCCTGTTCAGAACTGTACTTTCTAATATGTGTGTACCTTTAACTTCAGTCTCTTGAAGGAGAAATCTGTTTATAGAACAGTAACATTGCCCCTTCTGCTTGGCTCTTCTTTAACTTCCTTTGGGTAAAGACAGGGAGAGCATTAGGGGGAAATACAGTACCTGTTTGCCTTGAATAAGGGAAGAAAATAAGAATATATATATATATATATATATTCTCCACTAAAAGAAGATCTAGGGCTAGATGACTGACTCTTCTGAGTTCATAGAGCTGCTCTTATGTTCTCCTGTGATTTCAGTGCAAAAACTGATGATGCATCATAGATGCACTATTTCCCACGACACACTATGAGAGGGTGCTTCTAAGCAATCAATTGATTGTTTTATATATTTACTCATAGTCACCAGTCCAAGCAGGAGGCAGATTATTAGAGCATCAGCAAAAGATTGATAAGCGGTAATAAGGCTTATTACTTTTATTAATTCGGTTAACAAGCAGCGTTAATAGTGGTCACGGGCTGCATTTGTCAGTTTGGATTCCTCACTGTTCTGCGCAAAGGTTGTCATGCTGTATCCTTACGTGCTTGGAAGTCACTCCTAGGATCTCGTTGGGAATATAACTACTAGATCCTTCTCCAGACAAAACTCAGGAGCACCTCAGTGTTTAATTTAATCCAAGAGGCAGAAGAGAGAGGACGTTACCATCCCAATTCCCTCTGCCCAGCCCAGTCTTCTAACTGTGCCTTGATCGGCCTTCTGTCTTCCTGTTACGCTGCTCAGCTGATGAGCTTGGTGTCATGCTGAAAAGTACCAATGTAACAAACAGCCTTATCGTTACCTCAGGCACTCTCTAAAGAAATAACTGGTTTTAAACACTTCTATTAAGTTATATGTTGTATTGTCTAGGGCTCAGAGAGCCCCGTTGGTCCCAGAGGAGACCCGGTGCCATTCTGTTGGGGTGCCTGGGGCCATCCCAGAACCTACTGGTGAGGGCCAGAAACGATTTATGGCTACAGGCTCATTTTCCTGGTAATCTGTGGGATGTGGTAAGGCTAGTACTGCACTAAGCCGTGTGAGTGCAGCCTCCTGTTGTTCTGCTCAAAGTTAAAAGATTTAAAGGCGTGAAAGCCCTTGGAGGGCTTGCCTTGGGCCAGGAGAATGACTGCTTTTGAATGTTGTCATGACTGGCTGTGAAAAACACAGGGGCTGAATTGTCTCAGCAGTAATTCATTTAACTGGTAACTCCCTGTGTTTCTCAGGAATTCATTGAGCAGCCAGAATTCAGGTCAACAGGAGATGCAGAAAATAGGGCTGGAAACTGAGGCGTAGGCCAAGGCAGTCGGTCAGCTCGGAGCTAGACGGGGGCGTTGTGAGGAAGAGACGCTCTGAGGCAACTGAAGTCCGGAGGAGGCTTGGCCAGGGAGGGAGGAATCCTGCCGAGTCCTTGGATCCCGCTGCCTGTCTAAGCACAGGCTCATAGCCTAGAGCTGCAGGCTTGCTCTGGTCTCCATTCTGCCTTGAAAAATGCACACAAAACCTGGGATGTGTGCTTCCTCATCTCTGCGTGGCTTCCTGCCATCTTGTGCAAGATGGGTATGCCCATGCAATGGAAGTACTGGCCTTAACTGAACTGGGTGCTGCTGTCTTAGGTCATGTATGTCCCTTGAATTGCATGTTTCGGCTCGTGGGGTTTTTTTGGTTTCCATGGATAATGAATTCTAAAATATTTTAGCAACCATGTCACTTTTGCCCAGGTGTAGCTCGGAAACAGACACACAAACCAGAATACCTTCAAGGCAAGTGGCAGACAGACTCAAACAAATCTACAATGGGGTGCATTTGAAATACTTTTAAGTCACTTGTACAGAAACTTGTGTGATGGCCGTTACCTTTAAGATGTGCCAGAAAAATGACTATCCTTAACTAATGGTGCTTAATTAATTAATGTATATGTGTGTGTGTATTCTACCTATTTGGGACTTAAAATGTGCCTTTGAAAAAAAAAAACCAACCAAAAACCTCAATTTGTGAGAATGCTGGACATTCGTGCACTCCCATAATTAATGTTAGAAGTTCATTTAATGGAGATGATTGATTATTAAAATGAGTCTAACAAGCAATTTTACTGTTTGTTCTGTTTTTCAGCCAATTCAGGATTTAGCAAGCAGCCCGCCGGAGAGCTCATTCCAGAAACTGGCACCCAGTGAACATAGGTACACCTTATTGAGGGAAAAAGATGAACTTTAAAAACTTGAAATAATCTCGCAAGCCTTTCAGACAGCAGCATTGACTTCTGTGTGGTGGAAATAGTAAACCTATATTTTCATAATTCTATGTGTATTTTTATTTTGAATAAACTGAAAAATAATTTTTTTCTCCCCAGGCTTGTAAATACATTGGTTTGGTGGGTCATTCTGTACAGCATCTTTCAAACAGTACGTTCCTAATGCTATAGTAAAATATCAGAGACCCATCCAGACTCTTGATCTAATTCTGTTCTGTAAAACTTTTATAATCCAAATGAAGGTATCCTTGCCAGAGACATGCTGTTAACTTGCACTATCCCATTAAATAGGACTTCTGGGTTGTTTTCTGTGTAACCTTGGTAGTATGTGCTTTTTCTTCTTCTTCCTCATGTGAACAGCTATCCTGGTAATCTATTTCTTTGTCACATTTTTCTCCAACTTACGAGGGTCTTCTATTCTGGATACTTGGGAGGGGAATAAATTAAAGTTTTACAGAATCTCGTGTGGTGCTTTACTGGGTGTAAGTGTCTAAGCAATTAAACAATTCTGACTGTTAAAATACCAAGCAAGGAAAGGAAAAGTTTTAATGATAATGGCTGTACTTCGAATGAAAGGGCTGTATTGACCTGCTCGGATTTCCTGGAATTAGTAAGTTTGTTATATTAGCCACACGGTTGTGATAAAAGAGCATGAGTGTTGGAAACCCTTCACAGTAGGAGAGGACTAGGGCTAGACTGCCATCTTAGTTTTGTCAGTCTTAAATTAATCTCTGTGTGTACGTGTTATGATTAGGTTTTGGTTTGTTTTTTTTTTCTTTGGGTCCTTGCCTTCCTGGCAGACATTCACTTTCAATTTTCTGTTACTGTTTTTGTCTGGTTTCTGCCTTATTTATTGTATATTCTTTGAATTCTGCTCTGATGAAAGGATTACTACTTTCCTCGGGGGCTCTTCTGTTGTGCATACCACCAGAATACAGGCTTTCCTCAACGAGTCTTCGAGCTGTTTGACATGAACATATAGAAACTGTAAGATGCAAAAATATCTGTTAATTTGGGGTGCATTGCTGGAGATTAATTAGTATTGGATTTGTACAGTACACTTACTACAAAGAATCTAGGTCCAGGTTTAGTGACCTTAGAAGCAAGCTTGTTCTTTGGATAGGTGGCCTACTGGGTTCATGCTTACTCAGTGAGTGCCCCAAATTCTGCAGTTCACAGCTCAGCACTCCTTTTGTCTCTCAGCTAGATGCCGTTATTGACACATGACAGACATGGTCTGTTGCAGCTGTGGCAAAAGTTGATCCCAAGAGGGGCTGCTGTATCAAGGCCCTGCAGCAACAGGCACATGAGCTTTCCAGGGGGCGATTCTGAGGAGGGAGTTGCTGGTACCAATCAACACTAAGCCACAGCTGAGCAGATGCAGAATTGGTAGCTAAAAAGAGTATTACAGGATTTTTGTTTACAAGCATACTTTTTTTTTGTCGGTTTTGTGCCTCTGCATTTTGGAGTGCACATTAAGTGCTTGAAAGTCAGGTCTTCTCCTGCCCCATTCTCCATCTCATGCCAAATCAAGCATTCCTGGCAGCTGAGTCATACCATGTTCCATTTGGAATCCGAAGATGTGAGCAGGGTATGGTTTTAGGCTGCCACTTGTTCTCTGCAGGTGGTGCTACAGAACTTCTGGCGTTGTTCAGGCACCTGAAATTTTAGTCAATTCCTGCACAGTGCCTACAAGGAGTCATCTTGGTCCTTTGAGATTCCTATTTTTCCTTGGGATTCTATTTATAAATGCTGTTTGGTAGAAGACGTCTAAACTTCTCTTTCTGGAGAGATGCTACCTCATCATACAGCCCACAGTCCTGCACCATTCCTTAATCCAAGTTTGCTCTTCTGAGTAAGGACTTGTTCCCAGAGCTTTGGCATCCCAGCAGTAGGTAGACAATTAGCTATACCAGTTCTACAACAGTTATACACTCAAGTCATTTCATTGTGTATTCACTAGAGGTTGAACAGCTGAAGTCTAGACATGCCTAACATGATGTTGAGTATCGCTTGAACTTTTGAAGTACCTGATGATACAGAGAATTTGCCTAGAGAGAGCAAATGCTGGACAAAATGCGAGATATGTTTCAAATTGAGTCCTTCAACTCCGATCATCTACATCAGTGGTTTTAACCATTCAGTGCTCAACTAACCACTCCCTTTAACATTTCTCGAGGCTTTCATAGGAAGTTGTCAGACAATATTAGTGTTATCCCTATATGGAACAAAACCATTCCAAACTCTTCTTAATTGAACCTAAGGAGTCCGTTTCTGAGCTAGCATATGTGTATGAGTTACTAGATGCATGCAACATTTTAGGAACTTGTATTAATTTCACTGAATGTAAATATTTCAATAGCTGAAGCATGTGTTTGGTAACTCAATTCAGGCTTCTTAAATCTTGGTAATGCAATTACTTTAATCCCTCACAAAGTTTATATTATTAATCTTTTAGATGCTGAAAGGAAATAAACCCTGATGTTCTCAATAAATGCTCCAACCAGTCTCATAAGCAAAAACTTTTATTTGGTCTGAAAGAATTACGTATATCTTACATGCCTAGCAATTGAAATGCTAGTTTGGTTACTCAGATGCCCAAGTTTCTTCACATATGTAAATAACCCATCTATTTTTAAAAAATCATAGTTTAAATAATAGTCTTCCAAATCTAGTGTGTACGTAATGTTTTGAAATTGCTTCCTTAAAGACTCAAGGAGGAAGAATAGTTTTTGTGCTAGACACTTCATAAAATGAATGCATACCAAGCTGAATTTGCATACACTGTGGCAGGAATTCAGTTTTATGAATTTAGATTGTCCTGGCATTAGTCCAGCTTGAGGGAAGAGGGTGGAGTCCTCGATGTCTCTGATGTGGCTGCTGTCATTTAAATGCACAAGATTTTGAAGCATACAGTAGGAAAGCAGAAATGGCTTTTTAAAATCATACAAAGAATCAACCCCAGTTTCTGATTAAGGACGCTTTTTTCTTAGCTTCTGCATTTAAATGTACAAATTCCATGTCAAAGGAATGAACAGCCTTAGTATGAAGTTGTTACAAGCTCATTTAGTGTGTTTACATCCTAAGTAGATAGATACAAAGTGCTTTTTGCCTGACAAGAGCAAATGAGCTGAATTACTCGGGTCATGTTTCCCACTCTGGCTGATTTTACAGATGTAGGCACTGTGGCTTTAACGCATGCAGTTTTGACAATGTTTGCGATTACTTGTTAAAACTATTCTTGCGCATATTGCTTCCCTGAGCCTCAGACCTACTTAAAATAGACACAATGCTGTGACTGAGAGCAATTGCAATCATCTCTTAAAAGTAGTAAGGAAGAACTGTTCAGAAAAAGATATTTGTGCTGTAACTAACAGTTGCTTACAGTGTCTCTAGGCACAAAAACCTATCATCTGTCATTAGTAGACAGTTATTTCCAATGATGATATCAAAGTACTGGTTAAGAAAAGGAAGCTCTTTCTATAGTATGCTTCCTTATATAGTATTCCTTGCCAGGGAGCCTTATCACTGAACACTGATGGCAGCATTCACCTAATAAAACTGGACTCAAGCAGAGCTCAGGATGAATTGAACAGTTTAAAAACTTTAAAAAGCAGCTTCCCAACCTCAATTTCTGTTCCCCAAACAGCAGCAGCAATAGTGTGGGAACCGTCCTGGAAGAATGGAGGTAGGACCATATGCTGAGCAGTAGTTTATGTGACAGTAGTATGATTATGTGACAATAAAAACACATTAACACTCCCATATGTAACAATGGAAGTTGCAGAAGCAAAAGGCTTCTTAAGTAGCAAAATAAGGATGGTAAGAGTAACAGACAGGCATCCGCTATAAGAAGCTAGCAAAAGCACTTACAGCCTCTCACCCCAAAATCTTGAAAAGGCTGAGAAGCTGCTCTACAGTGCGAGTGGAAGCAGAGGTTTCAGAACTGAAGGGCGTGCAGGTGTGCAGCTGACCCAAACAAGCATGGTTTACTTATTGTCAATGGTATCAGGTTGACGTTTGCAAAATAATCCCATCATCTGGGGATGTCAGCTGGCACTGGCACCATTTAAAGGGCCTCGCTGCTTCACCACCATCCTTGGACCTGGTGCCTAATGCCATCCTTGAGAGATAACAAAGACCGCCTTCCAGGGAAGGTATTTAGCTCTCCCACCAGAACGCTGTCGGTGACAGGAGATGAGAAGCAAGGGCAACATCCAGCAGTAAGTGCTGCTTAAGTAAGCTGAGGCTTCAGGCTCAGAATGCCAGATCTTGTCACTTCATCCTGTAGGGTGTTCTCAGGACAAGCCAAGGAGGTGAACTGCCATGGAAAATTATTATTCTCCAGTAGCGGTCCTGCAGGGTTGCGGCTTAGACTGTTTAATTCTTAACTATGCTTTGAACAAGATAAGGAGTTCACAAATTAAAAAAATACCTGAAAAAGGGCAAAAGCTGCTTATGATGTTCATCTAATTTGGCTGATGGAGGCAGATGTGGGATATACTATAAGGATATTTTCCACGTTGCTCACCCAACATTTTCACCTTTTCCTATGGCAGCTAACACCTCCCTGTGCGTTACTGAATAGGCATCGCTGGTCATATCCTGGGTGTATACACAGGATGAGTTTGGGAATCCAGAGAAATGAAAGTATAAAGTACTACGACAATGAAAGATAGATGGAGCTCAATTCCTTTTCTTTAAAAGCTCCAGCTTCTGGGTGGTGTTCATGGGAAAGCACTAGGGTTTTCCAAGTATCTCCCTTTGTATTGTCTGCAAGACACTGTGCAAATTTGGCATGAAGCACCGGTCACCCATCATTACAGCTGTGCATGTAGCTCACCTAAGAATTTTATAATTAAAAGTTATCCATATAATATTCAAAGGACTGACGTCACCACATCTGAAATGAGAAATTCTGACATTACCATTTCACCCCTCCCAAGTAACAGTACTGTTGTCAAAATTCACACAACTCAGCCTTGTATTTAAAGCGTAAGGCTGCAAGTCTGTCATTAGCACGGCTACCACACTTTTGTTCCTAGTCAAAATGAATCCATACTTCAGCTGGATTTTTTGGCACTTTGGCGAGAAAGCTCTGGACAGCTGGAAGAGATCTGCTCGATGATTTTTTGTTTTCGTCTTTGTATCAATTTTCCACCTGTGAAACCCAAAATCCCACCACCAAGTGCAGCTGCAATTCCTGCCACTTTGAAGCCTGCAAGGAGACCAATGGGACCCCCCACCACTCCACCAATGACTGCACCTGCCACAGGCAGAGCTGCCAGCTTGTATTTTGCAGCCTGTAAAAGGAAAAAAAAAAAGTTAGAGTACTTGCCTGTGGTGTCGTGCATTTTCCCCTCATTGCTCTTGGCAATGACGTGAATGCTCAGTAAGAAATAAACTTTACAAATTAGTATTTAAAAAAAAGATGATCTACTCCCACATGTATGACAGAA